TATATATATATATATGCATCAAATACGTCCATTACCTTAATTGTTTAATGTAAAATAAAGTATAAAAGTATTGTTTGACTCACCAATACGATGCGCAGCAGCGGAGTTATCAATCACATCGTAAACTACGTAAAAATATAAACTACGTTAAAATATAAAAATTACATCCTATTTATTATACATATATAAAGTTACATTACATCGTATAAATATGTCATTAAATGTCTAAACACATTCTGAAATTAAATAATAAATTGATATTAAATAACTTACCCCCTTTCCCCATAGTTGCTCCGCCGTCGCCCGATGCGTCCCAGGCCTCTTCCTCCTCCTCAAGTGTTGCTCCGTTGAACTCATATAACACTTCTGAAAATATGATCACATGACATTTAACATGATACCCTCGACGTTAATTGCAACGCGCTTTATTATGTTACTTCAATGAATAATAACTGTCACGTTGACACGTTTACGAGACGTTGATCGTGAAACTAACTAATTATGTGTACTGGGAATCGCAAGTAATGATAGTATTTTCTTTCATTATAGTCGCGATCGATTACGAGAGATAATACACGTTACGACTGTTACCTATTCAATGATTGAATGATATACCACGATCTTGCGTAAACAAAAGAATTAATTCTGAATGTCGATCACGTGTAAAGCTATCATATCTAAATCATAAGAAAAGAGTACGTATAGATATGTACATTTTTTTTAAAAAAAGATGATCCGGGAATGGAAACAGAGGGTATAATTTCGTATGTCTTAAATATAGATATTTAATAAAATAAAATTTCTTGAACAATAATTTTCGTTGGCAATTTTTATTAATATGATTATATAAATAGAAAATTTTAATTATTGATCAGAAATTTTAATTTCAAAAAGAATACATGTACTCTCTTTTAAAAAAATACGGCCGGTAATCCTAATCACGCGACACTTTACGATATTTCCGACATAAATCGCACAAAACACGCTTTATTATGTCACTTCAGTGAATAATCACACAAAACACGATTTATTACGTCACTTTGATGAATAATCATCACGTCAACACGCTTGCAAGCCGTTGATCGTGAAGGCTAGATTAATCATGTGGTTGGGAATAATTATTTGTTCATTAAGAAGATAGAGAATAATACTATTAATAAATCAAGACTAAGCGTCCCAAATTAGAAAAGACAGTCCAAAATTTTAACTCTTCGTCTCAATTTATAACACGACCCAAATTTTGTCCAAAATTAAGGATGTGATTAAAATTATCTTTGTTCTACTATTTTAAGAAAATAATAAAGTATAAAATAATAAACGAAAAGATAAAAATAATAAGTATAAAATTAATGTGATTTTTTTATTTAAAAACCCCAACTACTCATAAACAACATTTAGTAGAAAAATTTTATTACCAATTTTAAAAAATAATGTGATCTCATAACTTAATATAATTTTTGTTGTAATATTATGTATAACGTTATACATTAAGTGTTATTAATTATTATTACAAATATAATTATATTATCCATATGTTTCATTATTAATTATAAAAAATATTTATCGATTAAAATTTAATTATAATAATACGATAGTATTGAATTTTTTTTAATGTCTATTTCCCTTTTTAAGGAATTGGTTACATATAATAGTTCTTAATAATAGTTCTTTCTCCTGGCATTTGACGTGATCGCATTATAAAGGTCAATAGTTACATTACATCGCAACGCACAGAGCAGTCATTAGGGTATATCCACACAACTTGCATAGCCACATAAACATATGCATAAAAAATTATCCAATTACATTTTACGTGCCTTTATAGAAGAAATATAATTGGATAATTTTCTTTATGCATACGTTTATGCAGCTATGTAAGTTTATGAGGATACACCCTTACGAATCGCGATTTTGTGTAAACACGTACATATTACAGCCGCAAAAAAAAAACAATCTTCAAGTCTCATGTCCAGTTTTTGATCCTAGGAAATATTTAACATGCAATAAAGTAAACCCAAATATTCAATTCTTTACATTTCAAATTAATTATACATTATATTAAAAATGACAGCAGTAATTAAGAATTTTTTTCTCAGCAAGTAATACGCACGAATAACGTATGAAGTGAGATTATTCACTTCATAGTAACTCCGCCATTGCCCGATGCCTCCTCTTCCTCCTCTCAGATCATTCCTTCAAAATCACTCGCGAAAATCACTCAGTAATTAACACTAGCGCTAATTATCAAAATAAGACGATTGTGATCAGTTCGTACATATTAATGATATACGGTGTACTCATCACTCTGCGATAGATTGCAACGAAAGTAAATAACGAGAAAAGAAGCAAGAAAAATAGTAGAACGATACACTACGATTTGCTCGGGTTGTTTATCGAATAACGCGACACACCGATACGTCGCGACATTTTGAGAACTGACGGTGACAAGCTATTTAATGAATCACTGATGTAGAAATTTACGTCGTATACTTGACAAAACGAAATGCGACTGTAATTATTGATCACACGTAGTCACGATTCTATTCATGCTATTTGTTTCGAACACGATCTTTTTGCACTACGTGATGACTGACGAATAATGAATATAGCGTCACAATTCACACGGCAACTTCACTCCTAAAGCCGGTTCTACATTAATTGCAAGCTGATCGCAAGTTTGTTGCGACAGCCAATCTGACGCTTGCATTTGAAATCAACGCTTCATATTGGCTGTCGCAACAAACTTGCGATCAGCTTGCAACTAATGTAGAATCGGCTTTATAATCAGAACGTGTGACTGTGATGCAGAGTCGAGTTGCGTCGGTTAAAGTTCGTATATTGAAAGAAAATTAATAAATTTTATAAATAATTTAATTACGTATAGAAATTAGGATTAGGTACCCTATTATTGTAAATAAAATTAAGTAATTAAAAATTAAATGTTAAGCATTAAAATGGAGTAAAAAATTCTCGTATATTTTCTTAAAAATTAACACAATGTCATGGCTTATTTCGAACTACAGTTAAATTAACATTTGTTAATTATATTAATTCAAAGTTAATTTAATTATAGCTCGAAATAAGCCATGACATTGTGTTAATTTTTAAGCATTAAATTTAAATAATTTGGTAGTATTTTAAGGATTAGAGGAACTTGTTTTATAAATGATAGTCCACGATAGGAAGATTTTAATAAAGTATATGATCAAAATTCGGCATCGTATGTAACAGAGTAATAAGGAGATCAAACTCAAGCGGCCAGTCACGAAAAAAGTGAGCTCGAAACACGGTGTCGGAAAACCCATGAAAAATCGGGGCCTGCTGATTTTAGTGCCTTTGTAAAAAGTTGGAAATATTGACTATCATGTGGTCACAGGTCATACAAATCTATCTACTATATACATACGTGTACATATTATATAGGAAATATCTGCTTCGATAAGACAGTGACTTATTGAACCTAGCACGCACTACGTGCAGCAATTAAGCTGCATTCAGAGATTTTATCAGAGTGCTTGAGTCTGTCATTTCATTCTTATTTTACATAGAATCATAGAATGACACATAAGGGCACTCAAGCAAAGTTTCCGAACAATTTAAGAGGTGACACAGTATAGTCAACTTATCACTTTATTGTAAGACAGAGCAGATAATTAATTAATAATTGGTCACAGGTTAATATAATTGAATGATTAATAATTGATCACAAGTTAATATAATTGAATAATTAATAATTGGCCACTGTATCACTTTTTATCGCGTAACAATTATGGACAGAAATCACTAAGTGATCCGATTAGTATTAATTATTTAGAATAATTGCGTTTTCTCTTAATATTCTTCTCGATAGAAAAATAATGCTAGAACGCACAAAGCGCGCCGCGTCGACCTTTCGATTCGAACTTCGTCGTACGAATGATAACAAGACGAGTGCGCGTGTACAATAGAGACTCTTATAATGCTCGAAGGCCAAGGCTGCGCCGATGTAAATAATGAGTGACGAGCGGCGAGTATCGTCATACATACATATACGTTATCGTCCCCAAATTCAACGCATATACGAATGAACTATTTCGTTTTTTATTTTTTATAATGAAACGATCTCTCTCTCGTAATACGCATTTTACTTTTCCAATACGTTAGCATAATTAAGTATGTATAATAATTACTTCTCAATTAAAACAACGTTTTTATTAAAAGAACGATTAAATGAGTTATAATGTAAAACTTAAATTTGTCCGTAATAAATATTAATTATTTTCCATGGCGTAGGTAGCACCTATTGATATGTTTTTACGTAAGAAATTAAAGGATGAAAATAATAAAATTCATTTTAAACGTGATTTATATCACAGAATTATATAAAATAGAATTCTATGATATATAAATCACATTTAAAATGTTGATTTAAATTTTAATTATTAAAATAAGACTTAATTTATATGCTATGTATACATTATTCAAAAATTAATAGTTAACGAGACATTTTATAGAACATTCAGCATAATAAATGTAAAATATATTACTGTAAAGTATTAATTCTTCTCTTTATAGCATTAACTTAATTCTTTTCTATGGAGAATAATTAGAAAATTTATATTAATCCTTAGTACACACGTACGATCATTCGTGTTCTGGATTAATTTTCATCGATTTATATACTTTTACAAGTATATAAAAATTATTAAACGATTTTTATATATATTTTGACATCTTTAGAAAGTATTTGTATAGTTGTATATTCTCATAATAAATTGTAGATAAATTGTTTAATTAAATATAGTTAACAAAATGAGAGAAATGCACTGTTTCATACAAAAATATAAAACTCTGAAACAAAAATTAAAAAAAAATATAGTTCAATATCTTAAAATTGACAACATTCCAAACTACAAAAAAAAATAGTTCAAGTATCGGCTGTCCAAAAAATTTAGTTATTGAGTAATCTGAAAATGTTTTTTTTTAATATGCATAAATAGCTATAAATTGAAGATATGTTGCATTTATATTTTAAATAATGCATTTTATTAGTATTATTGCGTTAAAAAGACTTATAAGGAAAATGTTTTTTTATAATAGACAACATAATATATAATATTACTGACAACATTTACCACAAGGGTATCAAAAATTATATTTATTAAGGGCTAATATGTTGTTGTAGAATTAAATTTTTGTTTTTATAATTTACGAAATATTCTCTCCCGCAATACAACCGAGAATTAATTGAAAATAAAGAAAAAAATAAAAAGTTTTTAGTTACAAAAAATGTACACTCTATACATACGTTGGGTCATTTGTGACTCAGAAGTGTACAGAGTTGAACTTCGGGATTATGCAATTAAAGGATACGCACAAATTGAGGCCGACAACGTAAAACTTGTTCTTTAGATGCCAAACTTTTTTAGAAATAAAAAAGAGACTGATATTTGACCAGAGATGCGATTCTGTAATTGTTTTACATGTCTACCGATAATTGTCGGTGTCATTGCGCAGCTTTTTATACCACATAAAATATCTGCGCAACGATACCGATAACTATCGGTAGGCGTATAAAACAGTTACAGAATATAGACCTAGGTGCTCTTAGTATTTTAAAAAAAGAATGCGCAGAACACGAATAACCTAAAAGTATTATATTAAGGTTTAATTGTGAGACACATGAAACGGGTATCAATTGCCTGTTCAAGACTCATAGGGTAGTATTCATAGTCGGATCTTAGAGGCTTTGTACAATAAGCCATTACTTAAGGTAATATTTAATAAACCATAAGAAATTGACCTATCACAGTCGAATATGAGAAGAATAATCAATTATAATTGATTAATTTCTGAAAATTTAAAGCTTAGATAATGATTTATGGTAGAGAAAGAGCCTGTTATATTTTAGACCATCTTAAGTACAGTCTTAAGATATTAAAAATCAATCGGAGAGCCGTATTAGCATCTTAAAATATTACTTAAGATAATCTTAAAATAAGAACGAACTATGAATACCGTTCATAGTCATAGTACAAATCAGTGCATATGATAGCACGACGGCCTCGTACGCGGCGAGCGTCATACACGTATTTAACAAACCAAACAAAGGCAGCCTCACCAAGATGCTAGACAGTTTATTTATTGGCAATAAGAACAATAAAAATATTGAACTATACATGTCAAAACATAATAAATAGGAAATAGGAAATAAAAGCCCATAACGTTCGAAGCTGGATCTTTAATGCTTAAATAATTCAATGTGAATTTGTATATATATATATATATAGTATATACATATATACATATATACTATTGTGAGTGTTCTAAATCTTTAGACCATTATGCAATATAAACACTTCGACGCAATATAAATAACAAGTACAATAAGATTTTTATTGTTTTTATTGTTTACATTACGTCGCTTGAGAGAAAGACGTTGTTTCCATACTGACTGCGAATTGCGATGAATATTACTATGGCCTCAGTGGTTTAAAGACTTAAGATGCTCGCACGAAATACTAAAAGATTTGGATTCGATTTCCGGCCGAGATAATATTTTTCGCAATAAATAAATTTATTTACAGATTTTCAACATATTAAGATATCTTTAACAAATGCCTATTGAGCATCAAAAATTATGAAATTATTTCAGTAGTTTAGCTGCGTTTTTAAGTCCGGAAAAATTAATTTGGCGCGTAGTTAAAATGACTAAACAAATATGATATATGTATGCATATGTAGTATATACAATTCAATTGAATTATTTAAACATTGAAGATCTCGCCGCTTCGATTGTTATGGACCTTTATTTCCTATTTCCTCTATTAGATTTATTTATCATTTATTATTTATATATTTATACACGAAAAATTAATGTTTATTAAATAGTTTGTGCTCTTTAAACTTCAAATTTTTTTCAATAAATGTCATCTCACTGCATATTTCACTCCTAAGATTTTGTAAATTAAGTACGTCGTTTAAGATAATAATTAATTTCGTTTTGAAATAATAGTGATAAACATAAATTCTAATTCGAAAAATATATGGCATTTGGATTACAAAATCTGTGTACATTTCAATGGTAACTGTGTACAATTTTAAAATCAAAATTTCAATAATTATTAAATTTAATAATTATTTGAGAAATAAATGTACTTTTGTTTTCATACAAAAAGTTACATGCAAATTAATATATATTGTATTTGTCATTGTTATTTCCTTTCAAATCTCTATATTCCAAAAGAAAATTTTATAATTAAAAAATTATAGTTATTATAGTTTAAACAAGAAAATAAGATTATATTGCTGCTAAAAATAAAGATTAATCTTACTTTCTAAATTTATTGAATTATATTCAATTTCACCCTAATTCAGTATGCATATATGTGTATGACACGCAAATAATTAATAAAAATTTAAATCTAATAATGATAAACAAACTGTTATAAGTATTTTTTTGATAAAAACAAATAAAATTTATATTTCTCAAATAATTAAGTATTACATTTAATAATCCTGTTTAAAGTAATTAATTAGACATGTAAATTTACATTTAAAAAAGAAAAATGTTTGATAATTACATGTAGTTATTACATGTAGTAATTACATTTGCTATTAGTAAATAACTTGTCTATATATACATGATGTCCTAAATATGAACCCATATGAAGTCACATCAATTTTGATATCTGGAGCGTACATATTGCATCTGGATATTTGTACATGATGATTTAGAATTCTATCTGACAATTTAATGTTTGTAACTATTTCACACATATGAAAGATTAAGCACAGAATTTGAAATAAATAATATTTCGAATAATATTAAATTAATCAATAAAAATAAAGTTTTTTAATCAACAACTGCAATGCACACATCCTAAATGTGTATTTAATAGTTGCAGTTTCATATAATGCATTTATAAAGCCTTATTGACATATCTCTCATAAGGAATCAAAATATCGTTAAGCAATAAAAAATGTATATATTTGTCTAGTAAAAATCATATAATAAATGATAAACATAGTTATATCTGAATGTAAAAATTCCACACAATATTTTGTCAATTTTGACTATTAGTAATTCGGAAATTATTGTAACTCTGATATTTCTATACTTATTTATATGTTTTTTTTTTGTAAAAAAAAACTAATATTTTAATTAATCGTCAAAATATTGTTAAAATAGTATAATATATGCAAGCATGATATTTCCTATTGTCAAAAATATTTCCATTATTGAAAAAAAAGACGAGAAAGCGTTTTCACTGAAAATTCACGAAGGCAATGAACATCAAGACTAGTATAAAATTTCGATCGGATCGAATAGAAATCGGGCACAAAGCGCAGGGAAAAAGAAATTGAGAGAGCGATCTCTTGCGGAATCACGACGATTCGATAGTTTGTCTCCTAAAAATGACTAAAGCCATTTTTGGTGGAAATACATACATGTATTACATATACATCACGTATACGGATGCATTACATGTACATATCTCGTTTCGAGTGTGTAAGAGTGTGGTGTATGTGCGCATATACGCAGCTACGTGTGCACGATAGTGTGGCCGACCAAAGCCCCAACTCATATAGGAGTGTTTAGATTTTAGGATGCACATGGGAACGTGTGAATCCG